CCGTCGATTTCACATAAATCATGTGGTGGATGTTTGCTATATAGCAGCCAGCGTCTGAGAAATGTTGTGCTTAATGTTTCTTGTTGACAGAACTTTAAAGGCATTAAGGCTCTCAGTCTCCAAGTGACGGCAGCAACTGAAAGATTCGAGCGACTGATGTTTTGTGGCTTCGGCTGCGATGCAAACCCATGTCCTCTTGGATTTGACCTAGTTACTACATTTATGTTCATTCTCATTCACATGAAGTTGATAGAAACCCCACAGAAACGGTTACATTATTTTAACCAACAAGTATGGGATTTGCGTTGATCTGTATATACTCGTTTTTCACATTTTAAATGGTAACTGTACTTTGTATCAAGCCATGCTAGCAGCCGGGCTATAGGGATGACAATGCTGGTCAGTCACTTGGTCAATCCACATCTTTAGTTTAGAGTGAAATATACAGCAACTATTGGATGGATCGTGGTTCCCAGTGGCTGAATCATAAGGACTGAATGACTCTTGAAGTGACTTTTGATTTAGCAATATCAGCAGATTGACATTCTTGGTTTAAGTAAAATCGTGTTATGAGTTCAGAGTGAATGTTTTCACAAATAATTGATTTGTTTGCAATGCAATTTGGTACATAAATAAATATATGTATGAAAAACAAAATCTGACAATGGGCTTTCTTGCCTCTCCTCACACAACATTGGTTACCAAAGACCGTTTTTCTCAGATTTCCGACCCACTTGCCCTAACGGGGCGCTGAACCCTGAATATGCTTTTTGCACTGAAACCAACCATATGTTTGTCGGTCTCCAATACTTTCTGACTTCTGTGGCACTCTGTGACTCAGTCTAGTTTTTAGATAACAATGGAGCGCAGTTGCACTGAGTAATAAGATATATTAGGCTCTGGTACACAGACAGTAATTGTTAGGCGGATCAGTTCATTGTTTGTTTTGGTCTTCTAATGGGATTTGTTGACAATAAGAAAAACCATGTCCTTTAAAACTCAACTATTATGGCAGACAGACTCTCATTTCATGTGTTCATCAGAGCTCTCCTTGGTACACGTGTTAAATTTACCAGCCACAACTCATAATTTAATTGTGGTGAAGTGCAATAAATGGAAATTAAATTAGACTTTGCTTACCCCCTGTCGTCTATACAGGAGTATTTACTTTGCAGCTGAGATGTGTATGCGAACTCAGAGGGAAGACAGAATAATTACCCTTATTGCAGCAAATTAGAGGAACATTAACATTTAAGCAATTTTAAGTGCATAAATCAGTGATCTTGTTTTATCTCCAATCACTAATATTCACATATGAAAAAATAGCCAGTAATCAGCAGTCTGTCAACAGTTTCATCTTTGGACCATGATTAGATCACATGTAATGCATGAAATGCAAGCACCATCCAAAAGGACATTGACTCTAGAAATAGCCTGGAGCTAATGTCATCTAATAGCACAAGGTACAGCTAAATCTTTGGTGCTGTTAACTAAAAGTAAAGCCGTGTAAACCCTGCAGGCACACGCGCAAATTTAACGCTTCTTTCCCTTCATCCTCATCTACCCCAGTCCACAAGACTACATGAGGCAATAACCTCCCTTAATTTTTCTCATGTGGAACACAGATGAAGCCAGATAGTTAGAGATGCTATTAAAAATAGAAATGGCTCATGCATAGAGAACATAGCAGGTAAATTACATTATCTACACAAACTGCAGTTATGTAAGTGAACATCTAAGGACTGGATATTTTCAGGAATTTGTTTTTGCCCGCAGTCGTTCACCTCAGTTTGAGCTGCTTTTATTTGTGTCGTTTAGTGTCCTCAGGGCCCATTTCATCATATTTGTGGCATGCAAGCTGATGCCTGAAATGTCATCCATTTGCTGTCACGGATTTTGACATGTTTCACAAATGAATTGCAGTCAAGAGCTGCAAATGCACCTTCAAATGTGTGTTTAGGGAGGCAGTCTGTATGTAGAGATTAATTCTAAATCACGTGAGGAATCATGTTGTACTCTCCTCCTCGTCTGAGTGTTTTCATTTTCTTTACAATCATTCCCATATTGCTGCTAAGATGGCAATGAGGTGTTCATTATTAATTTGCCAGGGGAAAAACTTTTGTAAAATTGTCTGGGCACTTTGCATGGTTTTTGTAAAAAATAAATAAATGGCCTCTGGTTGTTTATGAAGTAATTGCTTTGCAAAGCCAGACCAAATTTCTAGAGCTCAGGGTTTTATGAGATTTAAGTCTCCTGATTGAGCCCATCTTTCAATATGACACTGTGCCCAAATAGGTTGTTAAAGATAGAAAACTAAAGACATTTTTGTTGTGCTTGCTACATGAAGTAGCTTGCATGTTTCTTGCTAATGTCCCACAATTAGGAAGATTGGAGGGAATAGTTAGAAGAGGTTTGGCCAAAATTTTAAAATAGCAGTGAAGATAGCTAGGCTGAAGTAGGCTTAACTAATAGTGATAGATCCGTCCCCATCCAATGCATCTAAGTGAAAAACAATGAAGTTAAAGGTATAGTGAAACATTTAAAGTCGGGTGAGATTATTTTCTAGTTTATAACAAAGTTAAAACACATTAATCTCCCTCACATGCATTTTTTGATGTATTATATGGAACCCAATGTGTCAATCACAATGCCTGTCATCTCAAATGTACAGCAAAACCGATGTTGATAAAACAGTGTACTGACAGACCAGTACACAGTGTAGTGTCCAATCAGGTGTAGAAAGGGTTCATGTTGGGTTATGTAAAGGAGAGAACTCAGTGCCTATTGAGCATTGCTCAATCATTATGAATAAAGCAAACATTTGGTTGGCACTGCAAGCCTAATAGCCTGACCTGGTGTGACACAAAATGGCTGACAATTGGATCTATTAAATCAAAAAGAAGGAAAGAATTTCTTTATATTATAAAGTTAAGGTTTGGAGCATGAAAAGGGTGGTTTACAAACAGCGGCTTCCAATTTCCAGCAATTTGAATCATATTTCTAAATGATAAACAGGGCTGGTATATTTATTGGATATTAAAGTCTGCTCTTGGGTATGTAAATATGTGCTTTTCTAGCAGAGGAAACCCTACTGTGAGGTGGATTAGGGATATTCTGTTGAACTGCCTCTCTTTGAACTATTGACTATAGTGGGGATCCAGTGAGTTGTTAGAGGAGAAGTAAAATGAGAGAGGAAATAAGGGGAGGTGAAAGTAAAAACTAGAGGGAAGAACACAGTAGGGAAGAGATGCAAAGAGAATATGAAAAAGAGTAGAAGAGTTCCGGCCTTTGTGACTCCATTTGTGCCCAGAGTGTTTTAAAGTAATCCATAAAAAAATCAAAATGACAGGAAATTAGGGAGGTATAGTGGCGAAGAAAGCAGTGCTGAATGAGCGCAAGAGGGGAAGGTGGCTTAGTGAATAGAAATAGAATGGAAAAGATGCAAAAGAGGAGGATAAAATGTGGCAGAGAGGAGATAAAGAGTGAATTTGAGAAAGGGAGAGAAGAAGTTTGTAATTATGAAGAGGGAGAGAGAACAAATGAATCAGCATTGCTACAGTTGAATAATGCAACGGGGGAGCTTGCAAACACATACAGAGGACAAGAGGTGTATTTCAAGCAGAGCTAGCTAGCAGGGACACAGAGAGAAAGAGATACAGGTTCAGCTAGAACATCTGTGACTTATGGAAATGGCTCATGTTCAAAAGAGAAACAACTTCTGGTGAAAATGCTAATTTTACTTGACGCTGCATTTGAATCATCTCGCTGGGCTATAAGAAACAACACCTCGGATAACTTCTCTCAACCTTTCGGTTTCTTGTGTACACGCCAAGATACCCACAGAGTCTTACCTTCCTCCCTTTCTCTGAGTGTATTCCCACCTTTGCTTTGTAGACTAAAATTTATTATGACAGGAAGACGAGTCGACGTTGAGAACGAGAGCAAAACAAGACTGAAAGGTTCAAAACAAGCTATAAAGTTAACTTTGGAAGGCCAGAAAAAAACACTTGATTTCTTATTCTTGACACCTATTGCCTATTCTCTGCCACGTTCAGTGAACAAAAAGGGCTTCAGTATGGAGATTTTTGTTTTCTTTTACAAGAATTGAATGCCATACCATAAAAAAATGTGTCATTTTTAATTTGCACCAGTAAAGTGTTTTTGAATGTCACATCCATTTTATGAATACAAATGCATTTCTCAACATGTGGAATGGTGTGGGAAGCAAAAAGTCAATTTCATTATAAATGTTGAGGGTCAAAGGAAAGGTGAAAACAAAAGACGCAAAGTGTATTAGAGGAGGTAGATTATATCACTACAGGCGTTTATTGTGTTTATGCTTTGTTTAAAGCTGTTTGGACTAGCTATGCCACAGTGTGAGGGAGAGAACATGGTCAAAATTGGCCTCAAAGAAATAAAAGTGTGTTTAGGACATCTTCCAAAAGGCAGACATGGCTACAGTTTAAATGAATGTGCATAGTTGCACAAATATGTAATTCAGTTCAGTAGTCAAAATGAAATGAAAATAGAAACCTTGTCCTTATTTAGTGCGAACATAAAATCTTATCAAATAAGCATCACAAATATCCCACCTATCAAATCCAACATCTTTCCAGTCCTTAAAGGACCAGTGGGAAGGGTTTAGTGGCATCTAGCTGCTCTGCTGCTCACCTCACCCTCTTGTTCCAAGCAAAACTCATGAGAGTTCGTGTTCTGGGCTTCTGTAGAAACATGCTGGTTCAATATGGCGGACTCTGTGCAAGAAATCAGAAGCAGCTCGTGAATTTCTTTGGTAATTGCCTTTTTGAAGGCACTGGCAAACGTTTTTGTCCTAGCGGGTAGGATGTCAGATCAGAAAACAATTGCATGGGTTATTTTTTTCTTTTGTAAGTTTGAGAACGTGCAAATTATACCAGTATAGTAGAACAAGTTTGTATTTCCAGTTATGAACGAAACCTGAACCCTAACGTTTCCTCACTTGTCTCTAATCCCTTCTACAGCCCAGAACTGTTCAGGTCTGAGGACATGTGCAGAGTGTTTGGAGAGGGCAGAGTGCGGTTGGTGTGGTGATCCCAGTAACACCGGCAGGGGGGTTTGCATGGAGGGCTCCTACCGAGGCCCCCTGAAGCCCGCCACTGCCAGGACTGGGCCCCGGGACCGAGACAGACTACGTGACAGGGACATGGTGCTGGATCAGAGTCTCTGTTCATCTGATAGAGGCTACAACTGGGCCTTCATCCAGTGTCCCGGTGAGTGAACCACTGGAACAGATCACATACTCATTGGCCACATTCAAGAAAATGTTTCATTCTGTTTAAAACTACAGCCTACTAAAATGTCCATGAAGTTAAAAACACCTCATTCAACAAAAAACTGATTATAATCTTCATGAAGGTAGAATTTATTGCAGTATTTTTAGGTAGGTGTATCTACAGCTGAGTGTATCTTTGACTGTCTGTGTTTGTGTTTGTATAATTTCCTCCCAGCGTGTCAGTGTAATGGCCACAGCAGGTGTGTGAACGGCAGCGTGTGCGAGCACTGTGGGAACCTGACAGCAGGGACGCATTGCCAGAGCTGCATGCCCGGTTACTATGGCGACTCCATCAACGGAGGGAAGTGCAATGGTGAGTGCAAAGGCCAAAGGTGTTTACCCTGTGTTTATATCAGGTATATCAGCAAAAGAACGTCCACACATGGCAGAATTCTCTTTCTTATATTCGTATTTTAGGGAAAGAGTCTGTCAGTCAGTGTGAATATTTGAATCTCTTTGAAATCAATTCACCAGGTTCTCTTCCAGTGCAACAACCCGCCTTGTTTAAAGATAATAATTTACCAAAAATAAATTCTTGATACACATTGATATCTCAGAGACACAAGAGCTCAGTTGTAGACAGAAATAAGTAAAGGTTGAGATTTTTCCAGTGTGTATTGGACAAATGCCCCCTTTTAGATATATGCTGCCTTCAGTTGCTCTGAATTGCTTTTATAGAAATCATGAGCCATTCATTAAAAACATGACAAGTAGAAACTGCTGCCAACAGTCTACTACACTGTAACAGACACAAACAACCTGATGGGGGCAGTGTTTAAAAGCTGTGAGTGTGCGCTCTGGTTTGTGTTGAGCTTGTTGGTGACCAGCAGAGCACTGGAACAGTGAAAAGGGAAACTACACGTGTAGTTTGGACAGGATTGGGGTCTGCAGAAATTGAGGGAATAGCTCTGGAAGCTTAGTCGAGTGTCTGAGAGAGGTTTGACTCGGGGGAAGATGGTCCTGATGTTGGCAAACGCTCACAGAGATGCACACTTGCTTTATGTGCATCCATATTTTTCAGCTTGGAATCCGACTGTCAGCAGTTTCTCCATGCTTTGCTTCATATGGAAATCATCACTGCAAATCCCATCGTTGAAATTGCTAAGAACAGTGTATGTGTGAGAGATAGATGATAGAAAGCAGAAGCCACAAGGAAATAGGTGTGTGCATGTGACTCGAAGGCTCGGGGGGCGGGGGGGGGGAGGGGGGGTCTGGGTCTGGGTAGGTATATGGTATGGGCCTGGATGGGAGTGTAATGAATGAATGAGTGACTGCTGGAGTGTGAGTGAGTGGTGGAGAGAGAAGTGAGAGGGAGGTGCAGTAACATCAGTCTCACTGTGACAGATGTGCGTTTTGGCTTGGCGGCGGCGTGACATTAAATCGCTCTTAATCATTTTCTTATTTCCTGAGTTGACTGGTGTCTCCGTCCCTGGCGGCTCTCCGCAGCGAGCGCGGTGCTGATAGATGCACGCCTCTCGTCGCCTCCGTACAGGACAGCCTCTGATGCACTTTCTCTTCTACTTTGGCTTCCCTTGCAGTATTTTTGTTCACTCCATCCTCTGTCACTGTGCCGTTTTGGCTTTTTCCTTATGCTCTCTTTAACATCCCCTGTTGTTTCTCTCCTCACATGTTCCATTTGTGACACCTCCTTTATGCCTCTTTTTATGGTTCATGCCAATTTTGTTCAATTTATCTTTGCCTTTTTTCATCCATTCTCTTCTTTACTTTTTTCTTACATCCCACTTTTTTTTCCTTTCCTTCACTCTCTTCTCATCGCCTCTCATATCCTTGCTTTTTCGTTACTTTCCTTACTTCTCATCATCTTTGCTCCCCTTTTCTGTCATCCTTTCTTTACTTTCTTCTCCTTTTCTTGTTTCTTTCTTTTGCTTTCCTCTGCCTCGTCTCTTCATTCCCTTCCTTTTCTTTCTTTTGATTACCTTTCCTCTTGTCTCCTCTTTTTTTCCTTTCTTTTTCTCTCTTTTCTTCTCATTTTATCTCTCTGCATCTGATGTCTCCCCTTCTCTCTTTTCCTTTTCTCCCTTCCTTTTCTTCCGTTAATTTCTTCTCCTTTCTCTTCCTTTCTTACCTTTCCCTTTTTTTACTCTATGCCTGTGTCATTCCCTCTTACAGTTGACAATAACTCTGTCTTAAATTTCCCCCACTTTTCATCCATCCATCAATCCATTCATCCTTTCTTCCTCCATCTCTCTTTATAAAAAAAAGACCACTAGATTTACCTTGGGCTAAACTGCTGGGATGCAATGATGTGTGGCCGATTAGGGGACTGAATGATGGAGAGACAGGAAGGGGAAAAGGCCACGGCTCATAGGGTTATAAAGAGGATGGAAGTGTGAGAAAGGCAGTGGGAGATGAGTGGGTGAAGAAAAGGGGGAGATGAGTGAGACAGGAGGAAAAAGAGACAAAGGCAAGCAGGCCGAAAGAAAAGGGGATAAAAACCATGTGGTGAGATATACAAGGTTAATATCGGTGGAAAGGGACAGTCGCCCTTGGAAAGAGAGAGACGATGAAGGAATAGAGGAGGAGATGGAGGGATAAATAGAGAGGAAGAGATGGAGGACAGACAGAGGAGAGGAGAGGGTAGTCTGTCCGTTCCCCTGTCCCTGTGACAGATGATTAACTAACCTTGTCAAATCTGGATGAAGTGTGTGTGTGCACGTGTGTTTGTGCGCGTGTGCAGGACATTAGTCCTTTTCTTTGACTGTATCGTTCACCTTGTCCTGTGCACATATCAAGTCAAAGTCACTCATACCAACCTTCAGAGCTGCAGCTGACAATATGTTTGATGTCTGTTTAGACTGTTAGTCCCTCAGAGGAGAACACGCGTTTTAGAGGCTGACAGGAAACCTGCATGTTTTTATGAACATCCTGGGAGTCTTTGTTCTGCTGATTTCTTGTCTCGTTTTTATTACAGCGGAGAGACAGACTGATGTTTTCTAAACATTTTTTTAAAACATATTTATGACGGGAAGGGTTGTTCCAGAGTGTACTCGCTTGCTTTACAGATAGAAACATCCACATCTAAAATTAGTACTACAGTGTGTGTGGTTTGTGGTTTACTTAATGGCACGTTAACACTAGTGCTTGAGGATAAGGAGAGAGTTAAGGTGGATTTATGCATCTTTGTCAGGACGTTATAGAGGCTCCCTTCATGGGACTGTTTCCTTAATTCCACTCCCAGTTGATTGACCATTGCCGCTGGTAAGTTGAAAACCATAAAGTCAATTTTGAAAAACCAATTAATTTTGATCATTTATGTATTATCAACAAATCACAGGTTCATTTTCTCAAATTTTAGGGGTTGCTGCTTTTCTCTCTTTTATATTGTAAATTAAATACTTTTGGGTTTTGTTCTGATGGTTTCAAGATGAACCTATCTGACATCACCCATTGGTTTGTGGAGTACAGTTTTGAAGCCTCGAGTTTGGTGTTACGGTCATCAGTTTGGCGGAGCCAGCAGAGGTGAAGTATTGCGAGTTGAGCTGCTCTCATTGGCTGCGCAGCTCCGATTCGTCTGTAGGAGGAAACGATGGAGGCTCACCTCACACACAATCTCGTATTATAGATAAACAGTACAATAAAACATGTTTCTGAAAACGATTTTAGGTGAGAAATAGGCAACGCAGTAAGAGAATCTTGATTCGTATTTGATCAGCACTGCCTAGTTTGACCGTTTTGATCAGATTTTCGTGCAGTGCGCTGGACAGACTCATTGAGAATGACTTCAATCAAAAAGTAGCCCAAAAGCATACTTAGGCTTTATCATCTTTTACTCTAAATTGGACCATAATTTACCAAATGAAAATCATGCTGTATAGAAGAAGACTTGCAACTAGAGATTTAGCTTTCATTGGGCTAATAAATTATGTGAGAAGTTAGATAGTTAGAACATTAAAGTGCATGGTGTTGTTTTTTTATTGCAGCCAATGGAGCTCCCCTGTTGGCCTTTACATGGAATGCAGATTTATTTTATACATTTTTTTACATTTTATTTTTATTGGCTTCACATCGCAGACCTGGAAGCTGTGTCCATTATATATACTGTCAGTTGTTGGTTCAGACTTGAGAAACAATTAGAAGATTTCACCTTTGGCTCTGGGAATTTGTGGCTGGCATTTTCACGCTGGGATTTCATAGACTAAATAATGAACTGAAAAATAACTGACAGATGAATCAATATAGATTTTTTTTTTTGTTGCATTCCTACCACATCTTTCTGATTTCCACTGCTATCCTGCCCATCATCAATCAAAATGAAAAGTACATGATTTACTAAATAATAAAGCTCTACAGGGAACACTGTTCTGACACATTCATCTAAGGTTGAGTTGGTTATCTGACGATCAATGGGTGAAATCCTATTCTAGACAAAAATTCCTCCACCAGATGCGTCTATAGCAGGTCTACAGGAATGATGATCGGCAGTAAAGCTATTTGAAGACTTTCGTTTGTTTACTTTGTGTATGTACTGAAAGGTTAAAATGAGACGTAACAGTCTGCAACAGAGTGAACTACTAACAGCTGGCCAACTCAACACATCCTTAGTATGGAGATATTTCAGCCTTGAAACAAAAAAAAGCAAGATAGCAACTTGTAATGTGTGTTGTAAAGTCAACATTACAAGGGGTGGAAGTTGTGCATTGTACATTACTATATGATATGATATACACACACACAAATATTATAAATAATTTTTCGCATTTTCCACAGGTATCCAAATTCAGGTATAGCAATTGGATTGGAATTCGTAAAAAAAAAAAAAAAAAAATATTATATATATATATATATATATATATATATATATATATATATATATATATATAGTATCTTTCCAGTAGTGCTCAGGTTTGGTGAGGTATCGCCAGAAGCAGGCAGACCACTGTGCTCCTGTGCTACCCTCTTCCAGGCAAGACTTCAGCTTGTATTATTTCTTCTTGTGCTTGTTATCTTTTGCTACCCAGTGCTTCAGTGCATAATGCTCTTCTGCCATCGGCACCTCACGCTGAACAGTTTTATTGCTTCCATAAATTTTGCATGATTCACATCAGGAGCTCCTTCTCGCCATCTCACTCTGATACTCTCTCTCTGCACCACCTCACTGGCTCTCCCTGAAGACAGTCTCGCATTCTGGTCGTGTGATTCATAGAAACACGACAAGTCAAAGGTTGCCGTTGGGTCTTGAGGACGTAGTCACCGAGCCAAAAGGTCAACATTTCTCACTGGTTCAGCCCATTTCAGTGCTTGTTTCTTGTGGGGCTACACAGGACTTCTAGTGGTCTTTAGTCCTTCATTTAT